AAAACCGTTAAAAGATCCACTTTACTAGCAAATGTATTGAAAAATAAATTATTTCACAAACAGATTACGACTTCTGTGTAATTATCACGTTTTCCTTATATTCACCTTAGTTTGTACTTCACCAAAAACATCTCAGATGTGTTTAAATCGCGTATTTAATGCTATTGATTCAATACAAATTATTGTATTGAATCAATAGCATTAAATACGCGATATACGCGACATTATATTAATAACGCCAGTTGATTGTATAGACGGCAATAAGTTAAAAAAAATGTAACAGGTACTCATATACTTTCCTAAGCTATTAATTTGAAAATGTCTACATGATATAATATCTTTATTCATCACAATACACACTTTTGCAGTCGACTTTATTCGCGTAGAATTCCCATTAATGTAAGGTAATAAATATTTACTTCATTTATATCAATAACTAGTGGTGGCCGCGACTTTTGTCGCGTTTTTGTTAGTACAGTTATATTTTTTTATTTATTGTATCATTTGTATCATTACATAGTATAAAACAAAGTCGCTGTCGCTGTCTGTCCGTCCCTATGTATGCTTAAATCTTTAAAACTACGCAACGGATTTTGAAGCGGTTTTATTTAAAAGATAGAGTGACTCAAGAGGAAAGTTTACATGTATAACTAGCTGTCCCGGCAAACATTGTTTTACCATATAAATTAATAACGCTATAAAAAAATAGGGGTTGATGATAGAAGGGTGAAAATTTAGGATTGTACGTATTTTTGTATGTTGTATCATAAAAATATAGAAACTAAAAAATTTGTCTAAAAAATAAAAACAAAATTAAGGGTGGACTACCCCTAACATTTAGGGGGATGAAAAATAGATGTTGACCGATTCGCAGACCTACTTAATATGCTCACAAAATTTCATAAGAATCGGTCAAGTCGTTTCGGAGGAGTATGGGAACGAAAACTGTGACACGAGAATTTTATATATAAGATATATGTACACCCGTGAGAAACCGAGGTAGGTGTCAAATAAATATATTTCATATTATAAATATTCAAACTAGCGACTGGTGGCCAGTATATGACAGTCCTCCGCCGCTACTCTGCACTAGTGGACTCCTGGGGGTAGTGGCTGCTCCACGTGCCTGCGCCACAAATGCCCCTGGTCGGTATGTACTTCGTAATGCAATCGTCCCAGTCTATTCACTATGTTGCCGAATTCCCATTTTGGCCCGCGTACAGAGTAGTTTCTGGCTTGGACCCAGTCGCCTTTTATATATATTTGTTTAACAGGTGGTCTGTATATGTCAATTTCTTTTTAAATTTAGGGACTTTTGTACACTTGGTACTTGGTATTATATTACTTACAAAACAGACAGATTCTTTACCATATCTAAAGAATAATGTCTTTTTTTGTAAATTTCATTATTTTTTGTATCACATTCCAGACTAATGAACAGAATAATGAAGAGCATGTTTATTGTGTTTCAAACATAGTGTTTTACATTAATTATCATACTGTACTATTTAACTATACATATATACATTTTTATGATACCGGAATGGAAAATTCTTATGTTAGTGGAATGGAAAAAGGGGGGCGGCCCATCTGAAGATAAATGGGAACCGTCAGCTACATATATAAACAGCATCATAAATATGACTTATATATAGTAAAAAAGTAAAACCGATAGTTTGTAATGAACTATATATATTAATACATGAAACAAAAACTTTGTACCCTTTTAACACTTATAGTTTTTGCACGGATGGGGGAATGAAATTTCGAACACTTATAGTTTTTGTGCGGATGGGGGAATGAAATTTCGAACACTTATAGTTTTTGTGCGGATGGGGGAATGAAATTTCGAACACTTATAGTTTTTGCGCGGATGGGGGAATGAAATTTCGAACACTTATAGTTTTTGTGCGGATGGGGTAATGAAATTTCGAACACTTATAGTTTTTGCGCGGATGGGGGAATGAAATTTCGAACACTTATAGTTTTTGTGCGGATGGGGGAATGAAATTTCGAACACTTATAGTTTTTGCGCGGATGGGGGAATGAAATTTCGAACACTTATAGTTTTTGTGCGGATGGGGGAATGAAATTTCGAACACTTATAGTCATTGTGCGGACGGGGGAATGAAATTTTGAACACTTATAGTTTTTGTTCGGATGGGGGAATGAAATTTCGAACACTTATACTCGTAGTTTATATGGAAAAGCTAATATTTTTTTTAATTTATGCATAAATAATACATAAAATCTATGAAAGGCATTATATACACTACCATGTATTTGGCACACACACACACACATATACTGCTTTGTTTATGTTAAAGTCTGTTTGATTATGATATGATATTGATATGGTTATGATATGATTAATTCTACCCCCAAGGGGATAAAATCGTGGATGAAACTTTGTCAATTTTAAGCCGATCGGGCTGAGACTCTGCATGCATAAAGCTACTATGACGTAGGCATCCCCTAAGAAAGGATTTTGATAAATTCCACCCCTAAGGAGATAAGTTAACGCTAGCGAAGCCGCGGGCAAAAGCTAGTAAGCTATATTACTGTAAAGTTTCATTAAAATCCGTTCAGTAGTTTTTGCGTTTAAGAGTAACAAACATCCATATTTACAAACTTTCACATTTATAATACGATTAAGATTATAGTAGTATAAAATAAAATCTTTGTTCAAATAAACTTAATATAAGCACTTGTGAATATGCATACTCTTTTTTAAATTTTAACACTCATTTAGTTTGCAGGAATTAATTCATAAAGAGGATAACAGGGAAAAGTGACAATAATATATTGTTAATGATAATGCTAAAACTGTAAAAATTACATTAAAAATTCTTACAAAAGTATATAAAAGTATGCACAGAGTTGGCAGCAGAAAGTAATATATATCTCAGGACAATTCACACAGCGCCATCTAGTCCCAATATAAGCAGAGCTCGTGATATGGGTACTAGACAACTGATATAAATACATGGATATTTTTATAATATACATAAAAAACACCCAGATCGATACAAACATCATACTCATGAATACAAATGTTTGTACCATACGAGGAAACGAACCCGCGTCCATCGGATAGTAAAGCGGTATGATAAACCACTAGACCACCGAGGCTGTAATATTAATTTTATAAATATATATGTATGATGATACTAGGGTTTACGATATAAATAGTCATACTCATGAATACAAATGTTTATACCGTATGAGGAATGGAACCGGCGACCATCGGATACTGAAGCGATATATTAAACCACTAAACTACCGAGGCTACAATATTAATTTTGTATATATATGTGATATTTCCAGGGTTTATATAATTATTAAACCCCAAAAACATATATTACAGTAGAAATGTGTCAACTCAGTAATGTAAGTGAAAATCTAAAAACTCGAATTATGCGCAACTGGATTTAACTCGAGTTGCATTCTGCCAACTCGAGTTGGAAGAATTTAACTGGTAAATGAATGAATCAAGTGAAAGAGCGAGAGCATGATTCTGTCATCGAACTGACAATGACCATGAAATTTTCCGATCATTTCATATCATACAATTGTCATTCGTCACAAATATTTCAATATTGATTTGAGGTTGTTATCATTTTTTTTCGCATATTCGTCCGATTATGTTATCAATAAAATGATTATGTGTTCCATTATGTCCTTCCGCGGCTTTAAAGTGTCATTTCTACTCGCCCCCTAAAGTTCGATGAAGCTTTCAAGGCTAGCTGCGCCCAAAAACTTTACAATTGTTCGAAAAAATAAAAAATAAACTTTTTATTCCAGGTAACTCGAGTCAACTCGAGTTACCTGAATTTTAACTCGAGTTAACTCGAGTCATGTTTACGAGTTAGTACATCTCTATATTACAGTATACCTCATACGTTGTATTATTCAACGTGTCCTATGCACCCGACGCTGTGTTTTCTGCAATTTTTCTTACTTCATTTCGTAATTTAGTTCAATCAAAATGAGTTCAAAATCAAAACTTAAACCATTGTTGAGACAAGTAAGTGAGTTAAGTATTTCATACGTTTATTATATCTAATATGCGCTTGTTCATTATAGATATGTTTATAGTTTTAAATATAAGTGTATTTTTATTATACAAATGTAAGAATATTATGTGATGTAAATTTTTGTGATAATATTAAATAATTAAAATTAAATCTGAATATATATAACTCAAAGGTGACTGACATAGTGATCTATCAACGCACAGCCCAAACCACTGGATGGATCGGGCTGAAATTTGGCATGCAGGTAGATGTTCTGACGTAGGTATCCGCTAAGAAAGTAATTTTGATAAATTCCATCGCGGGCAAAAGCTAGTAAATATATAAAATTTTTTCTTCTTCTCTTCTTTATTCTTATTATAGTGTTTGTAATAATTACCTCAGAAATGGCTTGGACGATTCTTGACAAATATTGTGTGTATACTCAGTAGGTCTGAAGGTCGTGGGTTTGATGCCTTACTTATGCAAACATTTGTATTCATGAGCCTGATTGTTTGTATTGGTCTGTGTGTTTTCTATGTATATTATGTATGTATTTACAAAACAAATGTAATATATATATCAGTTGTCTAGTGCCCATAATGGTGTGCTCGGATTATGACCACTGGTTAGATTTGACAAAAATGCAGTATTTTTATAATCATATACAAGTTGATTAGAAAAAAATAATAGTGGAGTTTCTTATTAGTTGTCCTTAGTTCTAAAATACTCCGAACTGATGGTAGATTTGACATCATCATAAGATATTTAGATTTGATTTAGTAATTAGTCGGCTTAGCTTGAGACTTGATTTGACTTGATTTCAGACAATACCCATATTGTCTGAATGGTTCTGGAGTTATTATTATTATATAATTATGTTTATGTCAGTTTATATAATGTTTGCACAGGTGTTCGTGAATGCAGGCGTAAGTCTTGGTATGATGGAGTGCGGATTAGTGTTTGCATACAGCGCAATATTATTGCCGCAACTCCGCCAGGACCCGAACCTAACAATGGATATGAATATCGAATCTTGGATGAGTAAGTCCACAATAACATCTTTAGAAATAGAAATAATTTTTATTCAAATAAACTTAATATAAGAAATTATAATAAACTTAACAGCTCATTTGGAACGCAAACTCATCACAAGAAGATTGAGAAAGAATCTTCCGATTCACGATTTGACTAGATAATAAACTAACCAAATGTGAAATGTTAGAAATGTATAAATAAGCTCATCTTGTCATCCTTCACTGGTGCCCCGCCTGCGTATACCACTGACGCAGGCGGAAGCACCACTTCATTATTGCATTAACATCTATTTACAAAAATACGTTTTACTGCAATCAATATTAACATACTTTTCTAAGTACCTACATTATAAATTGAGTTCACAATTATACGCTGACACATCTTTTTTTATTTCAGTATCAATCCACGGGCTCTCGTTCATTCCTGGAGCAGTATTGACATCATTCATAATAAGCAAATATGGTCGAAAACATGCAAATATTACCAGCGTCATTCTTATCATAATAGGATGGCTTTGTAATTCTATACTTCACAATATCAATCTTATTCTCGTGGGAAGATTTTTACAGGGAGTATCACTGGGCATTTCAAGTATGCTATGCCCATTGTTGCTCGGTGAATACACTACACCGAAGTATCGAGGCACTTTCATAGCTTTGTCTGTATCGTTATTACTACTTGGAACTTTAATAGTTCATAAATTAGGATCTATTATATCTTGGCAAGAGACATCATTGATTTGTCTCGGATTAGCTGTTTTACATTTAATACTGGCTATATTATCACCAGAAACACCAGTATTTTTAGCGACACGTGGAAGATATGAAGAGTGCAGGAAAGTATTCTATTGGCTAAGATTTCACGATGAAAAAGCAGAATTAGAAGCTATGATTGAGAATGCTTTAACCAAAGAAGCAGCTAAGGGCAACAGACATACAGATGATAAAATTAAAAATAAATTATTACAATTTACAACTGTTTTGAAGAAACCAAAATTTTATAAACCGTTGATTTTAATGCTGCATTTAGATGTAATGCTGGTATATTCTGGACATATAATGATGGTTTCATTAACAGTTGATGTCTTCCGTAAAATACTGGGTGACGATGCTGATGTATCATTGCACATGTTGATTACAGATATCTTGAAAATGATATCATCATTCAGTGCAATTATTTTAATTACAAAGTTTCGAAGACGTCTTATGCTTCAACTATTAGTTGCATTAAATATTTTAGCATTAATACTTATAAGTGCGTATTTATATGCTGCAGAAACAGGTATATTACAATATCCAGTATTAGGTGCTTTGTCTATTTACTTGCTCTTATTTGCAATCTATGCTGGACCGGTTCCATTAGGATGTACAATTTCTGGTGAAATATTTCCTTTGGAATACAAAAGAATATGTCCACTAATAACAACTGTATCGTCTTCAATATTTATAACAATAGAAATGAAGATGTATCCCTACTTGCAAAAAATTTCAGGTCTCCACGGAATATTTCTTATAAAGAGTATAGTTATTACATATTGTTTGTTAGTTTCTTGCAAACTAATGCCAGAGACAAGAAATGAGACTCTACAAAATATAGAGAGCATGTACAGTAAGAAACAGTTGTATAAAAGACAGTCGATATCGCGAAATGAAGAATCAGTAATTATGAAAGTTGAATCTTCTTAGTTATTATTTTAGTGCAATTATTATACTTAGTATACTTGAAGTGTTGTATACCATAAAACGTAGGAAGTTACAGTACTTAGGACATATAATGCGTAAAAAATATGGTCTTTTACGTTTAATTATCCAAGGAAAAATCCAAGTCCGCCGAAGACCAGACAGGCGGCGCACTTCATGGTTAAAGAATCTAAGGCAGTGGTTTGGGGTTAATTCAGAACAGCGGTGGACAAAATTAAGATCACCAGCACCACCCAATCTCCGGTAGGAGACGACATATAAAGAAGAAGAATCATATAAATGAGAGAACAATAATATACCTGGAAGATTCAACGCCATTTAGTCTCAAGCTTGTGTTATCGTACTAGATATGTTACAGAAATACTTAGGTAAATTTTTAGCAGAACTTGGGTTATGGGTTATCCGGTACAACTGATAGAATATTTACATAATTACAGAGATTTTTTTTTCTAAATACATACATAACATAGAAAACACCTAGACTGATACGAAAAATCATACTGATGAATGTTTGCATTGTGTGCGGAATGAAACTCGCAATCATCGGAAGTAAAGCAGTATGCTAAATCTCTGGACCATTTAGTCTGTGATTAATATAGAAAAATAATAGGTAGATACTATTTATAATTTTGCTATAATAAATAAAAATAATAAATATAACGGGAGTTTACCATTTTTCTAACCATTATCATTGCACACCTTTAGTTTTTTACTTTTAAAGTATGTATTCCTAACATGAAATTAAAAAAATATTAGGTCCTAACATATGAAATTAGCGTTTTGTAATGTTACCTACCTGAAGTAGATTTTTCAAATTATAATATATTTATTTAATCATAATATATACCATTGCTATTTATGCATTGATCCCTTTGCTAAGAAAACTATTCGGACGGGAATCAATAAAATCTTTGAAGGCGCTTTGGACTGCCTCATCGGAGTTGATTTTTTTCATAATTTCGAAAAAAAATTAATCTGTTGTAGCAATGTCCGGGGAGTAAGGTGGATGTCTTAGACCAATTAAAGCTCTTTTAATTTGATAACTTTCTGATGTGCAGTATGTGGTCTAGCGTTATCCTGAAGCAGCAGTGGCCTACGGAGATTGACCAACCTCGCTTGTTTAGCAGGTAGCTTTTACATCATGGTTTGCAGACATCTGCCGTGATCATTTAGCCAGATTTAAGAAAGCAGAAGTGAACACCACCAGCACTAGTCCACCAAACGCTCAAAAGTAACTTTTCAAGTCAATTTTCACTTGGGACAGGACTTGGTTGGTTTATGGGGCCTGCCCTACAACATCTACAGGGCGGGCCGTCGCCGTCGGAGCTGGGGTAGAATGCACTTGCGAATCCCCTGGCTCCGGCATAGGCGCTCGTAGGTACACCGTGTGGTTTTTTAGTGGGTACAAGTCCCACACACCACCTCGCCATCCCTCCGGCGGAATGACGGTCTTTTGAAGGTTTTTCCACACGTTAAAAAAAAAAAAAAAGGACTTGGTTGGTTTGCCAGGGTTCATGTAATGAGCGTTTTCGACTAATCTACTTTTCATCACAGGTAATTTTTTAAAGTAAGTTTCAGGCATCCATACGCTACGGTAACTGTTGACCATCATCTGATGTTAATGACCTGATACGCTGGTTTGCCACCATCGTTATATAAAAAAAACTACAAATAAGAATTATTGTTTATTATACCAATAAGTAACCTTAATTAGTAACCATCCACATTCATATGAAGGTGTTACATGTTAATGTGAATAGTTATAAGAGCAGAGGAAGGCCAAAAAAGATATACATGGACTGTGTGAAAGATGATAATGTCATGGTAAGGAAAGGAGTAAATAACGAGATGACTGCCAACAGGGATGAATGGAAGAGAAAAACATGTTACGCCGACCCTAAATAAACGGGATAAGGATGAAGCAGATGATGACGACCAATAATTAACCTGTTTATGTTTGTTGTTGGTTATGTCTATAAACATATAAATTAGGATATTAACATATCTGATTCTATTTTCTGACCAACAATACTGTTTCCTTTAAGGGTATCTTCTATATCCTGTAGAGTTTTATCTTTTGTTTCTGGTAGTATGATAATTGAGACTATTAGACCATAACTAAGTAATACAGCTAAAACGCAATATGTGCCAGGTAGGCCTATCGATGAAAACAAATATGGTAATACTTTTAAAGTCACTGAGAGGCATACTGAGAAAGTTACTTGAGAAACCATTCCACCAATACCTTTATATTCAAATGGAAATATTTCTCCTGCAATTATATTTGGTATTGAAACACAACCAGTGTATATGGCCGCTAAATGAAAATGACATAGTAATATTCCAATAATTGGATAATCAAATGGTAACAATTCTTGAGTTCTTAAATATGAGTAAGTAGAAATTAATAAATACGCTGTTATAGTCAGCAAAGTACAAATGGTTAAGACTGTTTTTCTTCTAAATTTCTTTATAATTATTATTGATAGCAAATTTGTAACTATTGCTTGCAAGTCCAAAGATGACAACACTAAAGGAACATTAATATTAGAACCTGTAAGTGTATGCAGCATATCTATAGCAAAGACATCAAAAAGAATGACACCACAATAAACATTAATAACCTGAAGATGAAACATAACAACAACAGGCTTGTAAAACTCCCTTTTCTTTAATGTTAAAACATATTCTTTAATCATTTTCTTAATCAAATTGTAACTAAGTATATTTTGTGTTTGATTCTTGTATTCTTTCTCTGACATTGCAGTTTTTATCATTTTATCTAATTCATCATTTTCTTCATCACCTTTCAGCCAGTGATAGCTTTTCTTGCATTCTTCATATCTCCCTTTCTTCGCCAAATACAAAGGCGATTCAGGAGAACATAATACTATAAATATATCTACAAAACTTATACAACCACATATTAAAGCTGACTTCTGCCAAGATAGGGAAGATCCTGTTGCATGCGCAAGAAATACACCAATAGCAAACGATGTAGTTAATGTTGTTAAAAAGGCTCCTCGATTCCTGGGAGATGTGTATTCCCCAATTAAGACTGGACCTACAATAGCGGTAAAACCGTTGACAACACTTTGCATGTATCTTGCTATTATAAATGTATGCGTGGCCGTAGCTGAGTATATTATTATCCATCCTAAGGTAACCGTGATAGCTGCTATTAGATTGATCACCCTTCTTCCGCATATATGGACAATAATAGGCACTGTTAACATGCCTGTGATGAGTCCAAAACCGACAATGGATGCTGAAAATATAAAAGAAATATTTTATTATTTACAGCCGATGGTATTGCATTTTATATATTTTTTACTGGGGTGTTTGATCTATTGTCAGGTGCGAAGACACGTAACACTGCGACCTGTATAGATTGTGCTCGTCCTTATTCAAAGTTTGCTACCTAGACCCGTGAGGGACAAGAATTGAAAGATATTCTAGCAGCGATGTTTTTTATCTCCTTAGAATACAGTGTATACTTTCCAAAGGAGATATTTTATTTATGCCCGAGTGGGCTACCACCAGTGTAGAAGAACTACTACACTAAGACGTGTAGTAGCGTTTCCTCTTCTGCTTGGCAAAATATGCAGATTGATGTTAAGCTAAGGCCTAATTTCGCCATGTGCTTATTCATTTTACAGTGCCTAGCTTCTGTCTTGTCTAATCAAAGTATTGAATTTTAACTAAGATTAAGACAACTAAAAGTATGCGTGAATATACTATATATGCTTAGAAACGAGAGGAAACCCAGATATGACGTCAGATAGGAATCAGTGGAGGAGTATAATAAGTACCTTAACTTATATCTATAACCAGAACCACTGAGGTCACGTTATCAAGTATAATCCCCAGTACACATCACGTAACAAGAATTACGGTATCATGTCTCCATACACTGCTCGTTTAAGAAATAATATTGCGCCTTTCTCCTAATACTCATTACTATCTGAATTGCTAAAATTGATAATTGCTATTTCTTTATATAAGTCTATGTTTATATGTTTGAAAAATTGTTACTGTCATCGAACTGCTTATTTAGCATATTATACCTAATCTTTATTTCGTCGCTAAGGGTCGTTCACGTGATATTGAACCTTAAGGCTCTTTACGACCCTTCCCGGCTAAACCCAGGGAAAGTGTATGTGTGTATGATTTCAGATGATTGTTCCTTAATATACGAGAATATTTCACCATCACATCGTCAGATCAGAATATGCTAGTTCAGCACCGTTATGGTACAAAAAATAGAACTATCTGTTTTGTTTTCTTGACCCCAAAAAACATATTATAATATTCTTTCGAAAATTTCTGTGACTATTGGGAGAATAGGAAAAAAAATCTTTAACAGGTTAAGCTTGTTAATTAAATAATATAACAGTGTTATTCTTACCAATCCAAGACGTAGAATTGTCGTCAATTTCAATAAGATGACTTTCTCTGAGTTGTGGCAGAAGAGCCGTCGGGAATGCTAGTACCGTCGTATGGCTCATCATGCTGAGTGCGACTCCCATCGTTACAAAGCACTGAAAAGCAATATTTTAATAAAGGTACACTTTGTGCAAAGTCGTTTGGTAAGATGAATTAATTTGGGCAGAGTGTTCACATACAAGAGTGCGTGTTCTTCTGTGTGTGGGACAGAAGATTTTTGTTTATGATTTGATTATGACGCCACTGACACTAGCAGTCAACACTAAGCTTCCAAATTATATCCAAACTCTATTCATTGTCTTGTTTAAAGTCGATAGACCTGTGACAATATTTGTGTAGATCCGATAACGGTCGGAGTTTGATCACTAGTGGGGAAGGTCGTAACGCTTCCGGTAGCAATGCTGCTAATAGTAGCCGAATTAAAAAATGATATTTTAAATATTATCTTTTCAATTCCATTAAAGAGAAGGATGGACTGTAAGAAAGATGATATCGCAAAATGGGTAGTGAATAACGAGGTGACTGCGATCAGGGATAAAAGGCAGAGAAAAACATTATGCCAAATTAATGGCATAAGGAAGAAGCAGATAATTAATACAGTTTCATAAGGAAATGAAATGGACTTCCGCAAAATATCATCTAATTTAATAAAATATATTCACTATTAAACACAGTTTCCAATCATGGCTACGTGGAGTTTGATTAAACTAAGATATGCGTGTCTTCTCACACTTTAGGCGTTGTGGTCAATTTACCAGAAAACAACTGTGTGGAAGATGTATTAGTAGTGTTTCTTTAATTTTATCTGTTCGTCTTATTTACATAGAAAACAAATTACCTGTTTCACGAAAGGTGTGATCCATTTGGAGTGTTTATTGTCAGGTTTGGATTCAGCCATATTTGCATTTGAAGTTACAGGAACTATAATAATTAAATTACGAGAATATAATAAAAAATTCTTTATTCAAATAAACCTAATCTCAAGCACTTTTTTTTAAATAGTCATAGTTCTTTTTTTAATCTGTCATTTGGAAAGCAGTCTCGTCAAAAGAAGAACGAGCAAGAAACTTACGTGTTGCTCTTTTAAACAATTGTTGCAATTTTACATTTTTTTGAAATGTGTGAATATGAATTACCAAATAGCACTAATTCATTAAAGTCACAATATTAAATACATAATCAACTAGTTAAATAACTAAATAAGGTTAAACTAGTCGTAGTGATTAGAGCAGAACAGTCTCTACAAGCAGCACTCGTTCAAGAGTAAATGAGCCAGCCATCACTACTGCACTAACTTTATGGAAAGTAAAGAAAGTTAAACGAAAGATGCAAAACAGATAATTATAATAAAATAGAATTTCATTAAATTGTAATTCTGAACAACAATTAATTAAAAGAGCAAGCAACACGCAAGTTTCTTTCTCATTCTTCTTGTGATGAGACTGCGTTCCGAATGAGTGGTAGAATAAAAAAAATATGACTACTCAAAAATGCTGATATTAATAAATTATTTGAATAATCTATACAATTTATTAATGATTATACAATGTTTTTATCATCGTCCAATAAGATTAAGTGAACTTAAAAAATATTGTAGAAAATGTCTTACCAAATTAAAATATGTGAACAATGATATAAATGAATATAAAATAAATCCTTGAATACCTGTTCGTATTGTATTTTTCTAATCAAATCCAATAAATATGGAAAGAAATATATGTGCTCTATATACACATGGTTACTGAAAACTCATAGAGTTCGATCTAGTAGGATGTAGGTGTGAACACACAGTACTTGGTATTTACATTAGAAAATTAAACAGCAATTAACATTCATTATTCATTTGATACTATTGACAATAAACACGTGTAATGTGACGGCATCACTGATCTAGTTTTACTTCCAATAGTCGCAGGTTTGACCACAAATTTAAATTAAAAATATCATTAGCTAGTAAATGATATTTTTAATTTAAATTTGTGGTCAAACCTGCGACGATAATAATAGTCTAAGGATTTTGACTGACAAGAACGTGTATTTCAAAGTAATATAAGCTGTGTTTACTGTACCTTAATTAATTGTTTTATCTATATTTTACAGTTGTTCGCAACACAGCGATACCGTATCTATTGTAGTGAAAAACTCAATTATTTTAACAATCAAGTGATGTTCCATTAATGCAAATGTATTTTTAACAACGGTTGTATCCGTTTCTTTTACATTCAAGGTCGTCCTGTCCTGCCATGTCTTTTCTTATTGTTGTGATGGAGTTACATTGACAGAGTAAGCATTATACCTAACTGGCTTGGCGACGGCCTTGGTGGTATAACTGTTTATCACACTGCTTTAATTCTGTTGATCGTGGCTTCAATTCCTCGTATGATGTAAACATTTGTATTCACGAGTAGAGTTTATATATTGCTCGTAGTATGCATTTATAAAATAAATGGATTAAAATTTTTGTATAAGTTGTCTCGTACTCATAGTACAAGCTCTGGACTTAGCTTGGGACTAGATGGCGCTGTGTGAATTGACCTCATCATCATCAGCCCACTGCAGTACACTGCTGGACGTAGGCCTCTCCGAAGGCACACCACTGGGCACGATCTTCAGCCCTTCTCATCCAGTTACTACCCGCAACCCTACGTTTGTCGTCGCTCCACCTAGCTGCTGGACGTCCTACACTACGTTTGCCAATTTGCGGTCTCCACTCTAGAACACGCCTACTTCAGCGAGCATCGGTTCTACGACAGATATGACAAGCCCACTGCCACTTCCTCTTACAGATACGAAGAGCTATGTCGGTGATCTTAGAGAAATCCAATCACAGCTCTTTCTATAGCTCATTGAGCCAATTTGAGTTGGTGGACCAGTCGTATCGTCAGTGTCCACGTTTCGGCACTGTATGTCATAATGGGTAGGACGCTCTGGTTATAAACCTTGGTCGTAAGGCTTTGTGGTAGCGACGACGAGAAGACTTGTAGAAGTGTCAACGGATATCACCTCGAAGTGATCCTAGATTATTATTGATATATATCCTTCATAAACGTAATATACAAAGTAAAATAATGACAGAAATAGATGAATGAGTGTATCTACTCCAATCAGCGCAGAATAAATACGCAAAATCCACAATTGTTTATATTAGTTATGTTACAGTAGATATCAATTTATATTTAGATATATAGTTGCGAAATCAGTGTTGTGCTCACTCCGCGCTACAATGGAACAATCTGACAATAATAATTGTTAAATCAATAGAAATAATAATATAAATTAAATTAATAAAAATGGGGCTACAAACACGAATATCGCCTTTTCTTATACAAGTAAGTATTTGTTATTCATGGACTATAGACGCTTCAATAATATCATCTGCTACTTCATATTCTCCTTGTGATGAGTCTGCGTTTTGAATGTGTGGTAGAATAAAAAAATGTGACTATTCAGAAATACTTATATTAAGTTTATTTGAATTAAGATTATTTCTATTTTCAGCGAATTTGCCTGGAATAACTTCAGCTTCTTTTTAAATTAATTATTTTTTTGCTTTATTAACTATTAAACTATAATAGAAAAGTTGGTCTTATGCTATAACATTCTGTATTAGTCAACTTTTATAAAGTGCAGATTACGGCTTAAATAGTGATAACTTTTTCCGTAAATTAAATTTGATTTTGACTGATTTCACCTCAACTTTTGATAATTTTTACGTAAATTGTATTAAAATCCGAGTATTAAAATATACCAAAATTACTAGTTATATCTCGAGATACTTATCTATATTTATATATTCACGTATATTTAAACATAGCCCATATTTCTTGCTTATCAGCATGAGATATTGCATTTGAATGTAGGTAAAAGAATTTTAAAATTTATCTTTTTACCCATTACAAACAAAACATACTAAAAATCCTGTCCATTATAACGATGCTATCTAAGATAGATTAGGGTACCATCAAGGAAGCGCGGGGTACCGGGCACAACAACCTGTGCGGTAGTGTAGATAAAAAATGTAAATGCATAAGCTGCCGAAAATGTCCTATAAATGATTTTTAGTTTGAGTTTGCTTGTGGTAAACGGGTCCTGTGATCCCTTTTCTCATCTCTCACAGGAACTATATCTCATAGATGACGATCAGATTTGAAGCCATTTAGATAAAAAGCATCGCTCCTAAGAATATCCTTCAATTCTTGGCCCTGACGGATCAAAGTAGCGAACTTTTAAAAAAAGCGAATACAATGTAAGTCCCAGTGCTACAGCTCTAAAGCATCTGACAATAGCCCCTCTGGGGGGAAGCAGATTATTAGTAATGTGGACTGATGATGTTATTGCTAATAATGTACCATGTCAGCTTGTCCTCCACGCGGTTCCCTGGAAACCATCGTGATAAATTATTGGTGAATTTGCCAAAATGGGCTAACTGACCTAACCTCATGTTCATCTTATCATACTCAACTGGTACCCCGCCAGTGTAAACCATTATCAACCATAAAAAATAGCTCCTGATACATATATATTCAAATGTTTACAGTGCTTCGTATCAGCAGGAGTGACATTAAACATGTCTGGAATGGGACTGGTGATGGGATTCTCTACGGTGCTGCTCCCACAGTTGGAGAAACCAGACTCAGCAATACAAATAGATGAGTCATCAGGATCTTGGATAGGTAAGAGTAATATTGAACACGTAAGGATGGATCGTGATAATGGAATGGTGCACCCGCCTGTGTTATCAGACGTTAATCAGTGTAAGTGGAGAATAGAATAAACATAAAGTTAGATCAGTCAACCCACCGTGATGTATTCAATTAGCATTAACCACAATGGTTTCCAGAAGAGACACCATGGAGACATGATATACTACACATCTGACATGACATGATATACTACAGTTAATATCCCATCTACTTTAACTCCATTACTAATAATGCTCTCCTTATTAAAATTTACAAGCAAATTAACTTCCCTACCTACCTCTCGCACCGGTGAAAATCTCGACTTTTTGGAAAGGCGATTTACAAAACCGCTGTAGGACTATAATATCAAAAAAATGGTAACTTTCGCCTATGGTACCACTCATGCGTTGCCACTTTCTAAGACTTAGATACCGTGCCTCCGTTCTCCAATTGAGTGCATATCTCTGAAGCTAGACTAAAAGAAAGCAAGATACATGTAAGACACAGATGCCCCGCAAATGACTTTGTAGATGATATCAAAGACCTTCTATACATTGTATCCATTTTATCAAGTAATATTTATCTTACGACATCGTAAATATAGGGTTGCCTATTCGTATTAATATCTCGTATAGCTTCAAGATTTTCGGTTTATGGGTCATCAGGATCCTCGTACAATTCAAATTATATTGTTGACTGCAGCAAAGTCTTCATCCTCCTCCTTTTCCATGCAGTCAAAACAGTGTGAATTTCTACGAGGGAAGATAGCCGAATTGAGTCTCATCATCATCGAGGTAATAAATTATTAAACTGGCAACCCTACGTAAATACTACAATATCATTGTGATAATAAATATCAGTAGACATTACGTAATAAAAACGATTAAATATTTAGTTTGACATTTATGATAGTCTTACTTAATTGGACACTTTTTTTTTTATTGTTTCAGCCTCCATTCCAGGAATGGCTATCATCGTTGGCAACTTCATGCTACCAACTTTGATGAATAAGTTTGGAAGGAAAACTGCTAATTTAATCAGTATCATGACTTTCATTACCGGCTGGTTATGCCTTATCTTTTCTAACACCACTGGTTTGATGATCGCTGCCAGATTCTTACAAGGCATCGCAATGGGATTGATTGTTACCTTGGGACCCATTTTAATTGGCGAATATACCAGTCCTAGAAACCGAGGAGCATTTCTAATGTCTATATCGATATCTTTAGGTATAGGAGTATTTTTAATACATATATTAGGTATATATTTACATTGGCAAACGACATCTATGATATGTATTGGTATTGCTGTAATAACTATGTCAATAGTTATACTATCACCTGAATCACCGAGTTGGTTGGCAAATCAAGGAAGGTATGAAGAATGTAATAAAGTATTCAGATACTTGAGAGGGCATAACGAGGAAGATGAATTACGAAAGATGATAGAAGCCAGTGTTATTTCCAAGGAAGATAGAGAGAAGAAACTAGCTGCACCAGAAACAATTGCAGCTAAAATAGAAGTAGCTGTAAGTTATCTGAAGAAAACATTAAAGGAAAGAGCATTTTATATGCCAGTAATAATAATGTTTCACGTATACACAATGGCACAATGGAGTGGTGTGAATATATTCACTTCATACTTGATAGATCTCGTTGAAAACGTCACAGGATTGAAGGAAAATATTGACATTATTATCATTTCTATTGATATACAAAGAATAGTAACAAGTACTGTTGGTCTGATTCTTATAAAGAAGATTCGTAGAAGACTTCTAATACTGATCACTGTTAGTTCAAACTTTGTAATGTATCTTATTATAGCTGGATATACTTATGCTAGACAAAATGATTGGCTTCCCTACGACAGTCCTTATATTGGTTTGTTACTAATACATTTACATATGTTCTTCATAGCAGCTGGAACATTACCAATATCTTTTGTGTTATCTGGGGAAATCTTTCCGTTAGAATATAAAGGTATTGCTGGAGGAATCAGTACTGTGTTTATGTCTATGAATGTTTTCATTACAGTTAAAACTGTACCATTATTTTTAAATACTGTAGGATTTTCAGGGACGTATCTAATAGATTCCGTTGTTCTTGGTTACTGTCTTATAGTAATATGTTGGTTGTTACCAGAGACTAAAGATAGGACGCTTCTAGAAATTGAAGAAGAGTTTAGGAGTAAAAAAGGAAGTGTACCATAATTATTATAATATAGGATTAATCTTTAGTCTATTGAAATTATGTTTGTTGTACGGTCTCATGTTAGATTTTATTTTCAGTCATCTGTTGCTTGATGATTTTCTAGGTTCGATAAGGAGTGATGATGAAATTTGTGTCTTTTTTATTGCAAAATATTGTATAAAATCTACTACCCCTACTATCCCTACTACGGATCTATTCTAATATACAACAAAATCCTGGAAAGCAAGAAAGAATTCTTGAAAGCAAAAACTTATCGACGCTAAAATAATTTTTAGCAGACGTACTATAGGAGCTAAGCAGACATTACAACAGACTTTTAGCTTCAGAAATTGAAATTTCATTTTGTCCCAACAAACTGTCTGTTAAATTGTTAGGACTAAATGAAATTTAACGTTTGGACGCTTTTAACTATTGTAAATCTGAATGAATTATGAATTATATAATGAAGTCAATTACGAAATTGCTACACTCTTTAAACAGAGTCCGTGTTTATATTGTTAATTTATTATATGTAAATTTATTGTATATGAAATTATAAATAAATAAATAAAAATTTTTGTATAAATATAAATATGAAACTGAAATAAATTTGGAAATGAATTTATGATTTTCCAAATTATAAAAACGGGAATATTTACCCATTTTGTCTGTTGATCTGTGTCCAATACGTTTATAAAAGTCAAAATATCACATCTTATCTTAATCTTATGTTACTAGCTGTACTCGCGACTTCGTCCGCGTGGAATTAAATAAAAAAGTTAACTAGAGAAATTTTCTAAAATAAAAGTAGCCTAAGTTACTCCATATTACATCAAGTACCTGCCGATGAAAGTCCCGTCAAAATCGGTCCAACCATTTCAGAGATTAGCCGGAAGAAACAGACAGAAAAACAGACAGACAAAAATAGTAAAAAATGATATTTTGGTGTGTGTACCGTAGATATATTCATGTGCATGTAGTAAAAAAACGTTTATTTCAATATTACAAACAGACACTCCAATTTTATTTATATGTATAGATATAGTATGGATGTTTATTACTCTTTCACGCAAAAACTACTGAACGGATTGAGATGAAACTTTATAAGTATGCAACATACACAAAAGCTAGTGTGCAACATTTTATTGCATACTACCTGATCCTCGCATCTTCGTCTGGATCACTGGCTTGATTGACTTAGGATGTCTATGGATCTGTATATTACATATAGATGTGTTCTAGCTACAAACTATATTTTTCCATACATTCATTTACCATATATTTAATACTAGTGTCTGTGTACCTCTTTCTTTTCTTTCACACTCCAACTGTCTCATGTTAAATGCTGTTATGTGACAAAATTATAAAATTAACTCTATACCCAACATCAGACGGTTTAAAATAGTATGGCATAGGTATCTACCGCATATGACAAGCTGTTACTAGAGTTTAAGTACTTACACACTAGTATATTTTAAGCTAGTAGTCGTTGCGTTTACGCAGCGTTAACGCAGCGATAGAGACGTTAGTATTACGTAAGAAAAGAATAGAATAGAACTAGAATCGAAAATCATTTATTCAAATAAACTTAATTTAAGCACTTTTGAATAGTCATAACAATTTTCTTAATCTACCGCTCATTAGGAAAGTTGTCTCATCACAAGAAAAACGAGCAAGAAACTTGTGTGTTGCTCTTTTAAATAATCCTTGTAAGTTCACATTTTTCAAGTCAAAACGTGTGAATACAAACTACCAACTAGCACTAATTTATTAGGGTCAAATATTATATTATATTATATATTATATTATTATAGATTAAATCACTGGTAGTAACAAGAGCAAACCAGTCCCTACAAGCAGCACTCGTTCACGAGTATGACGTATGAGCCAGCCATCACTGCGCTCGGGCATATTTTAGGGAGCCCAGTAAACTTTGACAATAGCAGCAAGAGAACATGAGTGATTTTTAGAAATAGAAATAAGAATAATCTTTATTCAAATAATCTTAATATAAGCACTTTTGAAATGTCACATTTTTTTCTGCCACTCATTGGAAACGCAGACTCATCACAAGAAGAACGAGTAAGTAACTTGAGTGTTGCTCTTTTAAATAAATGTTGTTCTAAGAAGACTTTAAGGAGATTCGCTTGTTTAATCCAAGTTAATGTAACATGGATTAGACAAGCGATAATCAACATAGCGCGCGTAGTCGGGTCTGCTAGTATATGATATACTAGGAGAGAAAGGCTTACGTGGAAACCTCTCATCTCATGTCTCACGCACTTGGTGATAGAAGTGTTTAATTTAGAACCAATCGCCCTACCGTTCGGTTTTGCTAATAAATTTAACATTATTTACCTCATTGTTAATAAATTAAAAAAAAAATCCGCTGCATAGATAACTGTTACTCGTACTCAATGTTAACGTCACATACAGCTATAACACTCTCGTATTCTACTGCAGCTGTGCGCCGTGCGATATTGTGAATCTGTGGCGTATTATATTTTGCGCGGGAAAATAAAAAAAAGACTGCTTCACCGGATGTACTAACTTGTTGTGGTCTACATTCTTAATTGTTTTCCACTATTCTACATAAATTTATAACATCTTCATCAGCATCATCTCAGCCCGGAAGACGTCCACTGCTGAACAAAGGCCTCTCCCAAAGATCTCCACGACGATCGGTCCTGCGCTGCTCGCATCCAACGCCTTCCAGCGATCTTGACCAGATCGTCGGTCCACTTTGCTTGAGGCCTTCCCACGCTGCGTCTTCCAGTCCGCGGTCGTCACTTGAAGATTTTATTGCCCCAATGGCCATCTGTCCAACGAGCTATGTGTCCGGCACCTTGCCGCTTCACTTTCGCAATTCTTCGGGCTATGTCGGTAACTCTAGTTCTTTTGCGGATCTCCTCATTTCTGATTCGATCACGCAGAGAAATTCTTAGCATAGCCCTCTCCATTTCCGTCTAAGTGACTCTGAGCTTATTCATGAGGCCCATAGTTAACGACCACGTCTCTGCGTCGTAAGTCATCACTGGCAACACACATTGGTCATAAATTTATATGTCTGTAATTTATTATGATTTCAAAGTACTTTCTACATATACAACAACCCGAGTATAAATATCAGACAGTGATAAAAATTAATAATTAATTTTTACTTAATTACTCGGCGGAAAATTTTTACTTAATTACTAAGACGGTCGGTGGTCCAGCGGTCTAGCACATCGCTTTACTGCTAATTGTCGCGGGTTCGATTCCTCGTACGGTGCAAACATTTGTATTCATGAGTATAGTTGTTTGCATCGGTCTGAGCGTATTTAAAAACAATCTAAGTATTTATATCCAGTACCCATAACACAAGTAGTGCTTAGCGTGGGTTTAGATGGCGCTGTGTTAATTATCCAGAGTTATTTGTTACTACTGAATTTGGCTTTAACGACATTATTTTTGTTAATCTATGGGGTCTCTTATGTACGAGACAATAGATTCCATTATTAATGTCTGCAGCCAAACCAATTGAACACACATTGAGATGTACATCGATTATAGTCCAGTCAACACGGAATATCTGACGACCTCGGTGGTCTAGTGGTTTAGCACACAGCTTTACGTCCGATGGTCGCGGGTTCGATTCCTCGCACGGCACAAACATTTGTATTCATGAGTATAATTGTTTGTGTCGGTCTGGGTGTTTTCTATGCATAATATGTATGTATTTACGAAAAAAAAAACTATGTATTTGTATCAGTTGTCTAGTACCATAACACAAGCTTTAGCTAGCTTAACTTGGGTCTGGCGCTGTGTGAATTGTCCTGAGATTATTATTATTATTATTATTATATCAAGTTGAAAATACGAGTACAGAACGAGTAATTATTTAAACGAGTCACCATCATCAACATCATTACATATATAAAACATAGTCGCTATCGCTGTCAGTCCCTATGTATGCTTAAATCTTTAAAACTACGCAACAGGTTTTGAAACGGTTTTTTTAATAGATAGAGTGATTCAAGAGGAACGTTTATATATATAATACCATGCGAAGCTGGGGGAACAGCTAGTTATTTATATTTTTAACCGGGTCTTAACACGGATAATTTATTGGCAAATAAAACCTAGGCGAAACGTCGAGAGAGGTTATTTGCCATAAAATTATCCGTGTTAAGACCCGGTTAATAATATAAATAACTATCTACTCGCCCCGGCTTCACATGGGTGTACATATATTATATATATAAACCTATATATATATATTAAAAAAACTGCTTCAAAATCCGTTGCATAATTTAAAGATAGGACGGACAGACATCGACCGCGATTTTGTTATACATATACTATGTAATAATTGAGCAACTTTATGTCAGAAAAACATATTTAGTATGATTGTTTGTATTGGTCTGTGTGTTTTCTATGTATAATATGTATGTATTTACAAAATATCTATGTACTAGTATCAGTTATCTAGTACCCGTAACACAAGCTTTAGATAGTTAAACTTGGGACTAGATGGTGCTGTGTGAATTGTCCTGAGATTATTATTATTATTATATATATATATATATATATAACATAGTAACAATAATAATTTTACCATAATGATAATTTTGACGACAGTTTTCCTCGATAACATTCATTGACTGGACTATATCGAATGTAACACATGTTCATTTATCTATAACAAATGTTCTCAGCCAGTACGTGTCTATAACAAAACATCCTAACAATAATTTCTTTTAACAATTTAATAATATATTTAATGAGAATATTAAATATTCAATAATGTTTCTTGTCGGTCCCTCTCAGCTCGAAAGTTCTCAGAACTGACGATAGATTTGACGAATTATAAGTCTGTAATAGACTTACATGAATGAAGATTTGATTTGATTTGATTAATAAATATATTACATCAAGTGTACTATCAATGTCTGTAACTCCACTTTTAAGGCAAGTAAGTGATTTTCATTATAAAAATGGGTATAAATATGGGTATAAAAAAAATAATTATGAAATGATG